GTGATCCTCTCTGTCCTCTGCCTCATCAGATGTCCAAATCGGAGGCCCTAAGGCCATTTCCATTTCCATTGGCTACGAGAAGCTGTTGATTTTGGGAATTTGTGTTTCGATTTCTAGGGTTCTTTCACGATTTTGAAATCGTGAATTGGGGATAAAAAACAGCTTGAACATATCTTTTTTTTTTCGTTTTCGGGTGGGTTTTGGGTAGAGCAATCGGGTTTCGGTTTTAAAAGCGGGTCAATTTTGGTTTACTGTTTCTAATCTGGTCATTTACGATAAACCGACGGTTTAGTTTCCTAAAACAGATACTTGGTCTACAGTAAACCAACGATTAACCAATTTGGGGTGATATAAGGGTCTCATATTCATTTTAGGAAGAAATGAGCGTTTAATTTTTATTTTGTGGAAAAATACGGGTCTAATACTAGTTTTGGGGAGAAATAGTTCGCGAATAGTTTTCCGGATCTATCTAAAGAGATATGAACATTTCGAAGGAGAATTAGTACGTTTTCCCGTAAAATGGCACTTGAAAAACGGCATTTGAAATTTCTTTATATTTATTTTGGCTGCTTGTTGTTGTGAGAATATTTTCCAAAAGCAAGATAAAAAAAATTGGAGATGGGGCATCGTCGCACATGGGGGCATGGACACATTTCCAAACTACACAAAATAAGTGTTTTGGTACGTCGTGTTTATATTATTTCATTTCCAAACTACACAAAATAACAAAACATATATTTATGGAAAATAAAAATAAGTTGTTCTGGTTACAAAAGCATCTTCGGTTAACATTTAACTGCTAGTGGTGAGAGAAGCTTATACAATTTGTTATATGCTTTGTTTATTACTATCAATTAATAACCTTACTAAAGAAAATTTGTTTATATTATTTTTCAGCTACCCATGTGGTAGTTTTTATTTCTTTCAAGTGTTTAGCCGATACTTAACTTCAACAACTTACTTATAAGTTAAAAGTCAAAATAAAATAAATCTGGTTTTATCTTTGCTGTTTTTTTATGAAGGATTACTCAACTTTATAAAGACCTTTTTTTTTGTCAACAAAATTAAATGTCTTTTCAGTTTAACTGTTTAAAATTCCAAAATGTGTAGGTATAGTCAATAAAGTGATACATACATCAAAATACGAATCTTCTATAATCAGAGGTCCAAGTTTTTCTTTACCATAATGAGTTCATTAACACAATTATTAAAACCAAGACTTTTACTACAAACC